ACCCATGTGGGGCTCTGTGCTGACAGCTTGGAGCCTGGAGCCTGCTTTGGATTCTGTCCGTCTGTCTGTCTGTCTGTCTCTCTCTCTCTCTCTCTGCCTTCCCCCAGTGGTGCTCTGTCTCTCTCTCAAAAATAAATAAAACATTTTAAAATATTTTGTTAAAAGAAGAAGAAAACTAAAAATTATGGAAATAAGTTTATATTATCCTACATTTAACAGCCCTTGTCGCACTGGAATTATAATGTCAAGGATATCTTAGACCCAGGGCAAAAGCTTATTTGCTTTATTAGCATCTTTAAAATAACATGTTAATTTTGGAGACAAAGAAATTGAGTGCTAGATAGGCAGGTTTTGGGTGTGAATATTCCTATTATATCATAAGGTAATATTCTTTGTTTCAGATTTTGCCTTTTTTTTTTTTTTCGGACAATCACAAAAGGGTCATTTTACAAGGGTGTATTTTTTCCAAGCACTTCTCTTGATCTTTTTTATTTAAATCCATATCTTTGGAAGCATCTTAAAGTGTTGTCATCCAGGGATAATTATCAGTTAACCAACCTAAACTCAGCCAGATCGAGATTTATCAGTGGCTTTCGGTGGTTTGAGCAGTTTTCCAACATCACTTTCATTGATTTCATGAAAGCCTGCTTTTTTTTGCAGCAAGGGCTTCGTTTCCCTCCGCAGTAAATTTGTACCGTATTTGAATTGGGTCATCAGATGTCTACACTGTCTGGCAATCAGGGACAAAGGGAGACAGTTTGTTCACTGGTCCGTGTTCCCAGTCAGCTGAGAGCTGGTCATCATAAGTCTTGCGACAGTGACAAAGTTGTGTTTTCTAACCTAAAGTCAGGGTAAGCAACGATTGGGACATGGGGAAAAGCGGAGCTAAGGAGACACCTGGTCCACCTACCTCCTGGCGGTACGGTACCAAGAGCCGGGCAGAAGTGATGAGCAACCCCCAGTAGATCACTATTTTGAAACTTCACTGGGTCTCTGTGTCTACAAGGTGCCTGCCCCTGCCAAGGGGGCGAACGGCTCCATAATAAGCCTGTTTTTCAGTTCTGCGCTGGGCATAACGTGAAGCCAGAACAAAGAGGACGCGATGCTGCTTTGGGGTAAATTGTTCCCCTGGCTGGGCGGGGCTACACAGATTTTATTCACTGCAGATAAGAAAGCTTTCTCTTGGTGAGTGTGGATTTAAACGTGACCAATTAGCATTGTAGGTTCCCCTTGCATTCCCTTTCCTCACCTGAGACCAAATGCCCCGTACTTTCCAGTGACTCCCAGTGCCGGGAGCCTCAGCTCTACAGAGTATTGTGTGAGGTCAGGTTCACCAGAAGCAGAACCCGAGCTGGGCGTTTCCGTGCAAGCGATTTATTAGGGAAATGCTCTGGAAAGAAGCGGAATGAATGGAGCAGAGGAAGGAACCAAACGGATGTGCTGTCAGCTGGAGGCTGCTTCAACCTAATCCCACTGGAACCCGAGTTGCACAGCAGAGCTGGTCTCACCTGGAGGCAGAGGGATGGCCTTTTGCACCCATGCCAATCACAGGCTGCAGAATCCTTGCGGGGAAGGGCGTCGTAAGCCCCCGGGCGAAGCGGCTCCCATTCAGCCGGGAGCTGATTGAACCCACGTAGTAAAGGGGTCCTCGGGCAAGCACCCACACCATCCATACAAGGAGCCACGGTGTTTGCGTACTTCACAACTGTCGTAGGAGAGCAGGGTATGGAAATAAATGACCCCAGCAGGGCCGTATTGGTGCTGACAGGCAGCAGAAGGGTGATGCATGATATCCCTTCCTGTAGCACCACCAGGAGCTCATGAGTCATGAATCGTACACTGAGTGCTCTGAATCCCCGAGAGGTCTGTGGTGTTTGCTCTTTCTGCTTAGCCCCACCAAGATCCAACCAGAATTTTATAATCTCTAGTAGACTGAGTAGAGTGACAGAAAGAGTTAGACTAATGCGAGAAATGCTGGCTTCAATGTTATTTTCTAGCATTTTGGAATTAACAAAAAGAAATAAATTCAGCAGCTCTTGAATAATCAATCAAAAGCAATCTTAGGCCAAGGCCAAGAAAACCAAGGGCTTCTCAAGTGCCAGAGCAAGTTTTTGAAGCCACGGTCATTCCTGCACACTCACGCAAAAACTAAAAAGGTCTTTGGGGCAATAAATCTTTATTTCAAGAACAGATAGACCTTTGACTTGAATTGAAAACCTCTCTCCTGGAGGCGTCTGGGTGGCTCAGTTGGTTAAGCATCCAGCTCTTGATCTCGGCTCAGGTCATGATCTCATGGTTCGTGGGATTGAACACCATGTCAGGCTCTGTGCTGATATTGCAGAGCCTACTTGGGATTCTCTCTCTCTCTGCCCCTGCTACGCATACTCGTATGCTCTCCTGCCCACGTGTGTGTGCTCTCTCTTACTTTCTCTCACCCTCTTAAGTTGAAGGAAGGGAGGGAGGAAGGAAGGAAGGAAGGAAGGCAGGCCTCTTTCCTTCTTTGAAAGGGATTTCTAGTGGGGTATTGAACTTCACAAAGGGAGTTTGGAACTAGGTTGAATAATCGTGTAATTTATATACATGCTGGGATGCTCTTGAGAGTAATTATACCCATGACAGGTATGAACGGGAACTGTGCCAGGGAAACTGAGAGTCAGCGTCACCTAGGCTTGGGCTTGCTGCCTCTGATGCCCGCAGGCTGATTAGCTGGGATTTCAAGGAGCTTCTCCTTGGGCCAATGTGGACTCTGCTTCTGCAGGGAGGAATATGAGGAAGGGGATGGTGACAAAGCCACCACAGTGAATCATTAGGACCAATCTTTGGGATATGCAGGTCTCAAGACAGCATTTGAGAAGCTATTCTCTGGTTTCCTTATCGAAATTGCCAACACATACCCCCAGGCTCCAAGAGCAGCCCCTCACTCTGACGTGTAAATGTCGGTTTCTCTGCTGGGAGGTCTCTTCTTTCTAAGCTATGAGCTCTTCAAGGACAGGAGTGACATCTTTCAGACCTGTGCCCTTCACACTGATCATGGTAGGTGATATGCTGACTCAGCTAACCCAACAGATGCTCAGGGTCTGTTCTGAATCCTGTGCCATTTCCATACTCTGGGTGTGAACTTAGCACCTGTGAGTATTTGGTGCCAAGATGCACGAAGTAAGCCTTGGAAGCAGGACTGAGAAAGAGTGTTCCTGATAGTGGGGACAACTTAAAGAGAGGTGTAGAATAGTAAAGGGTGTTCGTAGAATAGTAATGTGTATGCTTATTCCCTCTAGAAAATCAGAGCTGTGGAATGGAGAAGGAGACAGGCTTTAGAGTGCACCAAGAAGGCACATGACCTCATTGAACTTTGGTGTCCTGGCCTCTAGACACACAGCAAGCGCTGGTTCTGTGCCTTTGCCTTCTCCAGAATCTGCAACATACCGTCTCCCCTTGGAAGTCTTGATTTGGCTTCAGTAACTTGGATCCTGTGGGTTCTGAAGAGCCTCCTGGCTTCCCTGTGTTGTAGACACAGGTGGAAAGACAGCAGCTCGCCACGACCCCTCTCCTGGCTTTCTCGGGCCACCGTGTGTAGGGTCCAGCCCTGGTGGGCTACACAAGGAAACTTCTCCTTGCCCTTGTACCTGGGCAGGCTTGCAGGGGCCCTGCATAGCCCTCACACACCTCCTTGGTGTGTATTTTCCTTAGAGTCTGTCTTTCCAAAACTAGCAAGACCTTGAAAGGCAGGATTCGAGTGTGGGCTTAGGAGAAAGCGTCCAGAAAGTGTCCTGTTGTCTTTAAGCCAAACCTTTGGAGACATCCAGCTCACGTGCGGCTGGTTCAGTTTACCAGGAGAGCACCGGGGTTCAGAGCCGAAACATTAGTTAAGAATGTCCTGGGCACCTGCTTCCCTTCCCAGGGGGACCATAGGTAGGGTGGGCCACCAGAGGAGGGCTAGGGGACTGGGCCTGGTCCCAGGTTCCCCTCCCACCGGAGCCAGCAGTGACTGTTGTCTGGGAACTTCCCCAAAGAAGGACTGTGTTTGCTAAAGTCTCGATCTGCCTCTCGGAGGCCACTTACACATATCTGTCCACACAGCCAGCCCATCCGTTGGTGCTTTTTCTCTTTCAGGAGGAAATGGGCATTTCCTGTGAACTGCTGGAATCAGACTTCCTCAAATGCAGCGTGGGATTTCCTTTCATGAGGTCCAAGTCAAAGGTAAGGGGCAGATACAGGGCACTTCCTTCACAGAGGCCCCCAGCCCTTCCCATCAGCCACCTGCCCGGTCAGCTGCACCCCCACCCTCAGTCTTCCTCCACAACCCTGCCCTGGGCAGTGGCGCCCCAGGGGCCCTGGACACATGTTCCCCTTTGATCCACGTGACGTACCCTGAATGTGAGAGACGTACCATGGCCTTGGGACTTGGGCAAGCCCCATCTGGTTGGCCTTCTTGAAAATCTTTCTCTGGGACATTCCATGCCACTGTGAGAGAGACAACATAGGAGAAACGTGGTCTGGGCTAGTGACCTACAGTTCTGTCACTCCCCTGGGTACTCAAAATTTTCTGAAGAGACCTCATAAAATTCTTAAAACATAAATACTGGTATTGCATTTTGTCTTTTTTAAGTGAAAGAAATTAGAGTCACTTTGGCATTTATAGGAACCCAAATTTTCTGAGCTTAAATAATGTGGTCATGGTCCAGTATATTCAAACATTCATGGAACATTCTGGTGTATGCCAGCCTTATAAGAATATGCAAAGATATGTAGAAGATGTGATTTTTGGAAGCAAAACTAGGATCTAGAAGATCAGGTCTGCCTTTTGAAATGAAAGCTATTTTTTTCCTGCTACGATTTGAAGGAAATTTCACATTCCTTTGCCGAACATCCCCCCCACCCCAAAAAATGAAAATTTAATCCTCCCCTCCCCTCCCCCTTGTCATAGAATCAAATTGTTTTAATCTCCAAGGCATTTTGGTCCCAGTACCTGGTAGCTGTTTTGCAAACCATTTGTGAGAATATTCTAGTGAGAAAGAAGGTTTGCTTATTTCCTAGCAAATCACTCAGACCCTTCATTGAATATGTCTGCTCCAAACTACAGTGGCTCTTACATCTGTGATTTCTAACCCCTCTCCTGCTCTGTTGCTCATTCTGTCCACAATCATCCCAGGAGAAGGGATGATGTAGCTTCCCCTAGAAAACGAATTACAGGGGCACCGGGTGGCTCAGTCAGTTGGGCGTCCGACTTCAGCTCAGGTCATGGTCTCATAGCTCGTGAGTTCAAGCCCCGCGTTGGGCTCTGTGCTGACAGCTCAGAGCCTGGAGCCTGCTTCGGATTCTGTATGTCCCTCTTTCTCTCTACCCTCCTCTGTTCATGCTCTGTCTCTCTCTGTCTCGAAAATAAATAAACATTAAAAAAAAAAAAAGAAAGAAAGAAAACGAGTTACAAATAGCTGGCCGGACCCTGGCCACATCCCCTTAGACTCCAGGTAGGGTGAGGAGAAGGAGGAACACCCTGAACCCTGGACATGATTGCCCTGTGGAAACATACATGGCACCTCCACACACAAATTTAATTGAAATCTTTTCAGCAACAGAAAATAGACTTAATTGGAAAAACAGTAGCAGTTGCCATTTCATTGTAAAATCCAGCCTGTATCCCAAATCAAACCTAAGGTGTGTCTGGCTAATTTTAGTTTAAAGATTACGTTAAGAGGAAAATTTTATCACTTCCATGTACGGATCCAGGATCGCTTACCATAAAGAGAGGGTATGTAGTCATAAAAATGAATATAGTGAAAACAAAGCCACGTTGAATTCGGAAGCATTCAATTTTGTCAAAATTCATTAACTCTCAAAATAGTCATGGGAACCAACAGAAGTATGAACGTTGGAAAGTTGGATTTTTTCCCAGCTTGGTAATGCCGCTACCTTCCTCCCACATACAGAGGCTGAAACCATAGCGACCCTAAACCTGGAGACAGGAGGTCTAGGGGTGAGTCCCTGGAGAAGGCCCAAGAAATGACACAGTGAGGACAGGAACTGCCTCTCTCCGTGCCCACCTTGCCCTCCCCTGTGCCTGAGACCCTGTGGCTCATCAGGCTGCAGACCACCTGCAGAGCCTCGTGATAGCACCGTCAGCTTGCTTTGTAGGCCACGTGTTTCCGTCGGTCATGACCAGCCCGCCCAGTCTCCGGCCTTCCGTTCTCCCAGGCCCCCGTCTCTGGTTTTGGCTTCTGACCTCACCTGGGTCTTTAGTGTGTTTAATTCCGATCTCCTGCCAGTTCTGACCCTGTGCTGGGACAAGACCCTTGACTTTCCCTTCCTTTGTGTCCTCCAGCTCTGCTTCCCATCCCGTCTCCATGCCCCACCCTCCCTGGAAACTAACAACCCCTGCTGCAGCAGAAATTTCCGTCCAGAGAGGGATGTCCAGTATACATTGTATTTAATGGTCCAACGTCCGTTACTTTCAGGTAGCATTCAGGGCAGTTGAGTCCAGTGTTGCAAAGTTAGACCAGTGCCTAGCATTAGTCATAAAGGAACCCAAATATTTACATATTAAATAATCAGAGACTCTCAGAGCTTGGTGGAATTTAAGAATCATTTTGTCCAGGGGCACCTGGGTGGCTCAGTTGGTTAAACATCCGACTTTGGCTCGGGTCATGATCTCGCGGTCCATGAGTTCGAGCCCCGCCTTGGGCTCTGTGCTGACAGCTCAGAGCCTGGGGCCTGCTTCAGATTCTGTGTCTCCCGCCGCCGCCCTGCCCCTCCCCTGCTTGCACTCTGTCTTTCCCTCCCTCCCTCCCTCCCTCTCAAAAATAAACATTAAAAAAAATCGCTTTGTCCAATCTCTTCTTTTTGTTGAAATGCAAAGAGGTTGAATGTCTTGGCTAACATCACATAGTTTGTGGCGGAGCCTGGTTTTATAACCCTTACCCAGAGGCCCCTCCCACATTCCCACAAATGCCCAGTATGTACCTGGTGAAAACCATTTGTTCAGGGTGGTCTGCCCCCAGTCACAGGATGCTCACCCCTGGGAGTACCTGAGACGATTGTAGGTCCCGAGATTATTTTAGGCAGAACAGGGACACTGCACTCAAGGACATTGACTCTCAGTGAGACAGGCATTACCTGTTCAACACCCTTTTTCCCTAATCGTATGCAGGAGAAGGTCTCTGATAGTGTTGGCGTGTGTTTTAACACCTCCCTGTCACTTGCTAATCTCCCTCTCACCAAAATAGAGTGGACCTTCCGGCTCAGGGCCTTCAGCAGGCAACAGAATGCATTGTTTTCATTTATTTTTATGACAGTCTTCTCTTAATGGTAAGCGACCCTGGTTCCCATCTGTGATCGGGAATAGAAATTTTCCTGTCTTTAGGGACCCCTAGGTGGCTCAGTCGGTTAAGCATCCGACTCTCGATTTCAGCTCAGGGCATGAGATCAACCCCTGCATTGGGCTCCTTGCTAACAACACGGAGCCTGCTTGGGTCTCTCTCTCTCTGTCTCTCTCTGTCCCCCCCTACTCTCTCTCTCTCAAAATAAATTAAAAAAAGTCTTTAAACAAAAAGAGTAAGGCAGGGAAAGTACAAAGTAAATGACACAGGTGATACGATATGCAGATGTTGCAGACTTTAGGAAGATGGTGTGTGAGTGATATTTAGAAAGGTGCCTGGTTTAAAGGACAAGCCTATCACTTCCTAGGGAACCCCAGCTGCTGTAAAGGACAGCTTGCCTCTCACCAGAGCACCCTCCGGGCTTGGCTTTACTGCTAAAGCTGTATCTCTGGCCTGGCAATCAGAAAGATACACGTGAAAAATAAAGCTTGTCATGCAAGTGGGCTTCCAGAGGTCATAAACTGCAGAAGACTGTAGCGGTTAAGTTCAGAATGCCTGCTAACGCCAGGTGTCACTTTTTTTTCCCCCTAGTATGAATTCAGCGTGATCTTTGACACCAGCCACGTGTCTGGGGAAGAGGAAGTTCTTAGCTTCATCGTTACCGCTCAGAGGTAAGGGGGATTTCATTTTGTTTTTCAAAGATAACAGAGTTATGCACATGGGAGAGGACATGGCCAGGTCATGCTTTGATGAGGCTCAGGACGCTGAGGAGGAAGAAACAGTTCAGCAGTGAAGCCCCAGGCCGCGGGGTGGAACCACATCTCTCAGGGGTGGCGCTTGTCTAGCTCTGCTTATGCGGCTACCGGGCCAGACGGAGCTCGGAGTGTCTGGGGATCATCCAGTTGGAGCTGATGATTTTTACAGCCAAGGAGAGACAGACCGGGAGAGGTGAGGATTCTGAGCCAAGCTCACGTGGCGGATTTGTTCACAAACTTCCCCCGTGGATTGTCGGACAGAGTCAGCTGTTTCTCACGAGCACACCGTTGCATTCCCTGACGTGGGGAGAGGGCCCTGCAGTCGGAGGGCCTGGCCGAGCCCGTGGTCAGAGGCCCCGAGACCTACTCCGCAAGAGAGAGCTTGTCCTGGAAAACCTGTGGGCCGATAGTGAGGGCGGGGGGACGATGCAGGGCGGCTCCTGCCCTCCGCACGGTGCTCCCGCCCCTCTCTCTGCAATGTATCCTCGAGCCCCAAGGGCCTTGGGGGTTGTCAGCTGCCTCCACAAGCCAGGACCCACGCGCACCTTGAAGCACCATCGGGGTAGCAGTCGGCTGACAGCTGGGATGGACGGAGAGGTATTTAGGTGGGTGAATAGGGAAAAAAAAAAAAGCTTCGATTGAGCTGTAGGGTAGACACCCAAGCCTATACCTTTGTGATTTGAATTTTCTTTCTCTGGAAATGATTTTTTAAACTCACCGGAAATGTTGCCAAATGTAATTCAAGGAACTCCCACATAGCCTTTGCCCGGCATCACCCGGCGGCCACACTTTTCTCCATTTGCTTTCTCATTCTCTGTGTGTGTGTGTGTGTGTGTGTGTGTGTGTGTGTGTGTGTTTTTCTTAATCATCTGGAAGTAAGTTGCAGAAGTCATGCCTCCCTCCCGTAAGTACCTCAGGGTGCACGTCCTTAAAGGAAGCCATTCTCTTAAATAACCACAGAGTTAGCAAATTCAGGAAATATGACTGCTGATACAATGCTGTTATCTACAGTCTGTGTTCCAGTTGTCCCAGTCGTCCCAGTGACTCTTCAGTCACTTTTCACTGGTCCACAGTCCGGTCAAGGAGCACGCATTGCGTTCAGTTATCATGTCTTATCTATAGTTGCCTTAACCTCCAAACAAACTTTCATGCCACGAGTCCTAAGTCCATCCTGGAGGTGGTCTGGAGATCTGAACCAAACGCCCTGAAGGCCAAGGTCAGGCAAGGACCACTGAAAAAGGTGAGAAAACAAAACGAAGAACCTGCATGATTAATAGAGGCCAGGAAGTCGGAAGGCCAGACACCGAGTGAGCGGTCAAGGACCAAAAGTCAACCAGGGAAAGATGCTCTGTGGAGTCACAAGGTTATTGGCACAGGGTTCCGACCTGAAAATCCGCAGGATCTGGGGTGCAGAGGGAGGCAGCGAGCTCAGCTTCATGAAACTAACCCAAGCCTTCCTCTGAGGAGAATGCCCTCAGGAGCTGAGAATGACAATTCTAGAGAGTGACATGTCCTGGACTCTTCAAATGAGCCCCGTTGGGGCCAGCTCAGGGGCGACGTGCCACACGGGATAACAAGCTCAGCCATGTCTCCGGCCCCCAGATACAGCAAGAGTCATGCTTGGGACCATCTGCCCACCCCCCGTGCACGATCGCCAAGTGGCTGTCATGGGCAAAGGACCAAACTGGGGCTGAGAGGGATCCTGGATGAGTGAGGAGGAGTCTTGCATCCCAAACCGTCTCAAGAAGGCTCCAGATTGGAGGCAGACACGCAGCTTCCTACAGGGGAGGAGAGAGGAACTAGCGAGGGCAGGCACGCCTCGCCCCTTCAGTCTGCAAATGTCCGAGCACTTCCCACAAGCCAGTGTGCTGCGTAAGACACTGGCACAGCCCCTCCTCTTGGGGAACCAGTGGGCTGGTAGCAGGGGGACAGATAATGAGCAAATGACTGCGTAACGTCAGCAAGAGACCGGGAGACAGCGGGATTCATCCAGCAAGCGGGACGCATTCGCCGGCAGTCCTAAAGCATCTTCTTTTTGTCCTGTACTCTCTTTAAGCCCACTCGGGGGGGGGTTGGTTCTTTGGCTGTCCTAGGAGGGGGTCCAGGACAGTCCTGTGTATTCTGAGGTCTCAGTCACTTCAAGCCTCACAGCAGATTCACAAACCTGTGATTAAGGTGTCCCTTGAAATAATCAAAATTTGATTTAAAGTGAAGGCTCTCGCCCCTTAGGGTGGGCAAGCGGCAGAAGGGAAACCTACCTGCCTCTCTCCTCTCTCTCTTTCTCTCTCTTTCTGTCTCTGTCTCTGTCTCTGTCTCTCTCGGGAATGGTCTTGCTTTCCTCCAGGGATGCTGCTCCTGCCCCCTCTTTCCCTGGGAGAGTTCCTGAGCCCCCCAGGCTCACAGCAGGGCTTCTGGGAGGTGTGTGTGAAGCAGGAAAAGTGCCCGTCCCTTAACAGGTGCTGGTGTCTGCACTCCCCCGGCCGCAGGGGTGTTTGCAAGCTAACTCTTGCCTTTGCACAGCCAGCCCCCTGCTGCGGGTTCTCAGCTGCTCTCCCTCCTCATATCCTCCAACCTCAGCCTGTCCACAGCTAGAGACCCGTTCAGCTGAGGCTACCCTCAGGGACGGGACCAAAGGGGACCCCACACGGGCTCTCACACAGAGTCCTTACTCAGTAGCCTCAGCCCTGCTGGTCTCTGGATTCTTCATGCCCCTCTCTCTTCACTGGGCCAGGAGAGGGAAAGCCAGACGCCTTCCCCTACATTCTCTGGGGATGCACCCCACCCCCCACCCCACAGCACCCTGTGCTGATCAAGGTGCCCTGAAGCCTGAAAGGGCAGACACCCTGCCCTCACGAGCACTTCTCTCTAAAAGCTGTTTCTCCAGAAATCCTCCTTTCTCCGCTAGTACATCCTTGATGTTTCAGCTTGGATTTTTTGCCCCCGACCATAGGAAATCCTGGTCTGGTGCTTTCCTCTGAATCTTGGCATCTTTTATAGCCCAGCCAAGCCATGCATCGGAGCGAACACACTATCACCCACCCCCCACCCCCCCAGGGATTGTTGAATTTTCACAGACGCACCAATTCCCCGGAGTCTCGGACTGAGATCCTTCCCAAGCCCTTAGTCTTTCCATTCTCTGCAGTCCATGCGGGCCCCTCACTAATGGCTTTGCCCTCCGGTATCCCATCTCCATCTCTAGCCACTGGTTTGGGAAGCTCAGGTCGGTCCCCAATAAGCACAGACCAGCAGGCACATCCGGTGAGATGCAGACACAAAGAAGCCCTGATTGTATCTCCCACTGCCCCTCGCTTTTGTTTTCCTCTGAGGCCTTCCTCAGTCTCCGTGTTATTTAAAGCTCACAGCATTCAGATTCACTTTCCCTTGGGAACGACTGGATGCCAGAAGCTTACATTTTCAGAGCCCCTCCGTCCACAACCACGGTCGCCTCTTTTGGCTTCAGTGCCGCTTTCTGTATTTTCTTTCTTTCTTTTCTTTCTTTCTTTTTTTTTTTTTTTAAAGCATTATCACTAACATTTCGGAGAATGTTCTCTCTCCTAAAACCAAGAGCGCCACATGTCACAATGTTTATTTGGCTCTCTTTCCCTCGCGTTTTCGTGTCCGACATCCGCTCCAGAGGCAATGACTCTCTGGCCTTCGGTTCAGCACTAGTCGGACGTGGTGAACAAACACTAAGCGCATGTAAAAAGTAGACGTCGATACCAACAGCCGTGATTGTTCACAGCCAGCCCAGCAAGCCCGGAAATGCTGCAGAACCTTCTAGCCTGGCAAGGGGGGACCGCGCCACGGGCTACTAGCGTTTCGACGCCGATGACCATTGGCGGGGCTTGCGAGCTTCGGGCTTGTGTGAGACTTGGTTATTTCCCATGCGTACTGTTTGAAGATCACACGGTTCCCGGCCACCTAAAACGTGACTGCGACCTAACAGAACTGCATACAAAGCATAGAGAAGATGGACTCTGTTCCCATCGCTAGAACCCAGAATGGCTTCCCCGGGGGATGGCATTTACCAGAAGAGTGTGTTTTCAGGCTGAGGACGCGGAGGCACGGCGTCGAGAGCTCACACAGGAGAGCCTAAGACCCATGCGGGTGGTGGGCATTGCAGGGAATAGGGGGGTTCGTGAGCCATCTCTGGGGAAGGCTGGGGAAGACGACTGACAGAGGAGATCTGGCTGGGCCACGGAAGGCCCACGTAGCTCAGGAAGTCTGCCCTCCATCCCAAAGGCAGAAAGTGTTTGAAGCGGGCAGTGACGCGTGCCACAGTTTGCCCACAGAGCACGAGATCGTTGAATTTAATAAAAGGAGGCAAATGGCCGATCAAACCTGGAAATTCTCATTCTCCTGCTGAGTCTTGGATCCACAGAAAACCCTGTGGTCGGGCAGACCCATCAGGGTGCACTCTCCGTCCCTCTCCACCTGGGACAGTCGATATTCCTGGGCAGGAAATAAATGACATTGGAAGCGACTTCCCTGGTTAAAAAGAGGAGACTCCACCTGCCTTCCAACGCCACCCAGAGCTAATCAGTGGTCAGAGAAGGAGAGCCCTGGGCACCCCTGGTGAAAACTCTATCTGTTAGAATCACATGTCCGTAGACTCCAGCTGTGCCCATTGGAATCACCCCAGGGGACTTTCAAAGCTACCAACGGACCAGAAATTCGGGTCTATTGGTCTGCATGAGATCTGAGCTTCGGCAGCTTGAAATAGTCTCGTCAGGTGATTCTAAGAAGCAGCCAAGGCTGAGAACCACTATCCGGGGTCCCTGCCTCTAGACTGGGCACATTTCCACTCAGCAAACACCTATTAAGCGGGTACTGCATCTCAATGCAGTGCTGGGCACATAAGAAATCATGCTAATAACTTACTAAAATCAAGAACACCCCCTTTTGTGCATTAATACTGCTACATCGCATCAGGGGACACGTAGTAGTGGCAGCTTACGTAATTGAAATAGAATCTTCTAGCCTTTGAATCACAAACGTTAAGGAAGCTGTATTATATGTTAAACATGCAGCGGAATATCAGCCGGCACTGTTTCTTGCCAGATGGTGGGAAAGCTGGCCTCACTGCCCCAGAGGGCGGCCTCCGCTCTTGACTCCCTGCTACGACTGAAAGATCCCTAAAGCCCCTTATCTTGAAAGCCACAGTTAAAATATCAACCGTTCAGTCCTCCCCGTCGCCACCCTTTGAAGATCTCCTGCCTACTTGTGGATTTAGGAGGACATAAAGTTGAGGCTAAACAGTCCTCCAGAGCTCTCTCAGCAGCCTGGCTCTGCAGACCCTGGGAAAGCATCCCAAGTCACGAGCTTGCAGAGTGACCGGAAGCCTTTTGATGTCTGGCCTCTGTATCTCAACTTTTCAACTTCAGTCGGTCTGGAGCAGTCACTCGATGACAGATGAGACCCGTTGGGCCCGAGCGGCCAGCAGCCACAGGTGGCTGCACAATTGGTACGGCAAGGGGTGGGGCTTCCTTCAGGAACCCATTACTCAGACCTGGCAGGATGCCGGTGTGGGGAGGGGGCAGGCCGGGGCGTGACTGTCCCATCCATTCTGCAGCCTGGTGGGCCTCTAGCAGTGATTCTAAGGCTTTTATTGCCCCCCCCCCACCCCCCGGAAGGAGAGGCCAGGTGGACACCTGACAATCCGGCTTCATCAGACTGGCTGCCCTCTGAGTGATGGATGTCACCCCATATGCGGAAGACGGATGAAGAGCCGGGGGTCAGAGTCACAGAGCACCATTGTTTCAGAACAATAGGAGAAAGAGGGAGTGGGGATGTGGGCTGCTATTTAAGTATTGTTGCCTTTAGCACTTGCTGGTGGGAGAGGAAGGCAGTGGGGTCGGAAGGAGGGCAGGGAGCAGGCAGGAACTCTGCCTGCCTCAGGGAATGGGGGTGGTGGGGAGCGATCCAGTGAGCCGTGCCCAAACCTCAGCAGGGCTCCGGGCTACTGCATTCCACCCCTGGAAGATGAGCTTGGCTTCCAGCCGGGGTCCCACACTCAGGCCATGTGGTGGAACCCATCATCTGGGAAATGTAACAAAACAGTAAAAGCAAGTCCCGTCTTCTCTCTCCCTCTCCTCCTCTTCTTCCTCCCTCTCCACAACCTCCCAAATCTCCTATCAGATTTGGAGGAGGAATCGCGATGGAAAAGCCCTCGTTTGGGAGTCAGACTGACCTGGTTTGCTCTGGGTCCCTTTGGGCAAGCTCCCTAATCTGTCTGAGCTGCTCCTTACCTGTCAGAGGTGGGTAATCCCTTCCGGGGTTCTTCTTAGGACCCAGTGAGATCATGCTGTGCAATATGCCTGGCACAAAGCGGCCACCCAACAGCATCAGCCTCCTTGCCCTCCCCTTTCCAGAAAGACCTCACAACATTCCCCTTTCTCACTCCAAAGGGGACACCTGTATGTGGACATGCCACAGCCAGAAGTCTCCAGAGGGAGCCCCCGTGATCTTTCTCATGACAGGATTGGCCAGGGCCTCTCTCCCGGGCTCGGCTGCTCGGCTCCACGGCTGGTGGGTGAGGCCCCCAGCTGGGCAGCAGCTGCTCAAGTCCAGCAGACCCTTTCCCAGCGGCAGTGCCCGCACCTTGCCGGCCCGCCGCTCGCGGAACAAGCACTTACAGAAGTCGCATGCGCTGGCGGTGTCCCGCCAAAAGCGTTCAGCACTCCCCTTGCCCCTGCACCCACCGGCCAGCTTTCGGCTCCCCGCACCTGCCCCTCTGCCGAGGCTTTCTCTGGCCAGAGCCTGCTCACTTGGGTGCGTGGGGCAGGTGCCAGGAAATGCATGCTCCCTGTCCCCCGAGTGGCGGGTCTCAGGAGTCCGTGGACAAAGACCCACCTCCCTGGGAAGACGAGCTGTGTGTTCCACGCTGCCTCCCAGATGCCCGTAGCCAGACCAACCCCAGTACAGAGCCAACCGCCTGCCCCGTGCGCCTTCTTCGTCTTCCTTCCCTTCCCTGTCTCCCTCCTCCACTCCCAACTGGTGTCTCCGGGGGTCACCTCCCCGACACACTACCTGTACTCACATCTTGGGAAGGGGATCGCAACCGGGACAACACAGTGCCCACCGTGACTCTGTACACGGACCGGAAACAGAACTGAGGACGTAAGGTGCACAGTCAGCCCTCGGAGGGTGACGGACTGAGGTCTAACTCGGAACAAACAAGCCTGCTGCCAGGTAGCTAGCACTGACCGGCACTCACCCCTCTCCCTCCCGCGCAGTGGCAACGTGGAGCGCTCCGAGTCCCTGCATGACAACACCCTCACGCTGACGGTGCCGCTGATGCACGAGGTGGACACGTCCATCACTGGGTGAGTAGCCAGGCCGGCCAAAACACAGGGGGACCCCGCGGTGGCACACCGGCCCTTGCTTGTATTTGCATGAGTAGCCGCGAGTCCGGGGCCCTGCTGGTCCCACTTCTTCCCAGCTTTGAAATGCAGGGCAAAAGCTAGAGCTACTGGCCCTCTGCCCTCCTCCCTCCTTGTTTTCTCCTCTTTCCCAGCTACCCACCCACCTGCTGGGTAACACAAGAAGTTGGACGGGAAGGTGAAGCCCCATAATTTCTTTGAGCGTTCTGTACACCTTAATGTGCGTGTTTTCCCGGCACCCACCCCTCCAGAGGGTCATGATGTCTGGGATTCAAATCTCAGCCGAACGCTGCTGGGCCGGAGGTTACAGCCAGATGTGTCCCAACGACCCTGGCTGGCTTGCAGAAAAGGTCCACCTTTCCGATCAGCTTCACAGTCAGCGCTGGCTTTGCGTGTTTCTGTTAACCCCTTCTGCAGAGCCTGCGGTGGCCCTGCCCGACATCTGTGGTGGTCCGGAATGGGCAGGGAACAAATCCAACGGGCACGGCGTCTGCCCAGGGGGAAGTCCACAGCCACTCAGCGTTGCTGGCGTTGGAAGGCAGGGCTGCAGGCCGCAGGCTGCAGGGACGCAAAGCAACCCGGGTGGTTTTCAGCCAAAGCCCAGGCCTGGAAAAATGAGAACTCAGTTCCTGTTTCTGGCTTCAGAAAACAGAGCACATACCTCTTTGATAGTGGAAAAAGGATTTGCACAATTAAGTGTAGATCAAATGAGGACCCACTGAACCCCTGCCCCGATGCAAGCTGAACTTTCTAGAGGTTCAGAGTTTCTCATTTTTCACTTCTCAAGTGCTTCTGGGTCCCGGCCTTGGCTAGAAGCTGAAGCGTTAACGCATTGCAGGAGGGCCATTCTGCAAGAGTTCACATGCCGCTGGGTGCCTGCAACGAGCCTCTGGGCGTGCTTGCACTCTGGGCGTTTTCGTCAAGTCTTTGAGACAGGAGGCATCAGAGGAATATATTTGCAAGTTGGCATAGATCTGCCTCTGTTCTATTTTTAACCACGTGCGGTTTATTTACTTGCCTCATCAGAGGCACGGTGAGAATATGGCCTGAACCAAGCCCTGCCCTTGGGGAGGAAGAGAAAACACTGGATCCTGCTGTCAGGCCCTAGGAGGCCTCATCGTAGAGGCGTTAACAGCCCCCACTGAAGCCATCAGTTACGCGCACACACACACACACACACACACACACACACACACACGAGTCAACCTCTGACCTTTCCAGGAACATAAAACAAGGCTAGTTGAAAGGAATCAGTTCTTGCCATTTGGTAACTCCAGAAGCTCACTACATTTCTAAAATAATACATGTACGTTGGAAGTAGATGAATTGCTGTCCGTTCAGGTTTGGTACCAGAAATCTTACGTTACCGTGTCTGGGCAAGCGAGTGGCTTCTAGAATGTCATCTAGAATCCGTGATTTGTCTCGGAATTCAAGTGAGTCCGAGCTTGGTTTCGTCTCAATTTTGTTCACATGGGCAATGTGGAAACCATCGCTACAAACTGAGCTCGAATTCTTGACCACATCTTAAATAGCCACTGTTTGAAGTCTGAAGAAAAATGCTATCATTGAACAGACTCGGCTTTTAATACCTAATTTCTCGTGGTTTTGGTAGTCTGACATTTAAGTTGTTTTAATGAATCTGTCGGAGTGGGGTGTAGGACGCCAGATACATAATTCATTTATATTTATTTCTTAAAAGCTTGTCGTGTTATTCCTCAATCCCCAAAATGTTTTTCAAATGATAAAACAGAACATGTATAATTTTGTGATCCAGTTTAAAAAAAAAAAAAAAACAACAAACAGCTGAACCCAAAGCTACTATTGTCGTCGTCTTCCTTTTAGAAATGTAATCTCAGTACATATTTGTATGTGTAGTTTATTGATTTAATACAAAACAAGACATTCCTGGAAGCTTCTGTTTAGGAAAACATAAATCTGGCTGTGTCCTTTTATAGGAAAAAGAAGTAACAATTCCAGAAGGGAAGGGTTTGGTGAAGACACTGGAGGGAGCAAGGTTCTAGATTAAATAGAGACAGAGGTTTGGGTTCTCAGGACAACTGTGACCATGGATTGCTTGACCGAGGTTTAGGGTGACGGATTAAATGCTTTCCTTTTTCAGAATCATGTCTCCAACCTCCTTTGTGTACGGCGAGTCTGTGGATGCATCCAACTTCATTCAGCTGGATGACACGGAGTGTCACTTTCAGCCCCTCAACATCACCCTTCAGGTACCCACCCCTGGAGACAGTCTCTGTCACTGAGGGCCCACGGAAGGGCCCATGAGATGGATCTTCTACTGAAAAACAGCTAAAGAACTAGGCTCTTTCCAGGAGAAATTGTCCCAGCCTGTTTGGCTAGAGTGTAGTGTGTGTGTGGCCGGGGGAGGGGGGGGGTGTTTCCCGTAACCACGCAGAATTAATCCCTTCCCTGTCTGCTGTATAGACCCCTCTGCTTTTCAACACTTGGAAGGAGAACTGTGTGATAAACCCCAGCTTTCCCCAAGAAGGCCTCTGGCCAGCATCCGAACCCAACTGGCCCCAAAGGATCCCTTTGAGTTCTCCATCATTATTCAGCTTATGGGGAGGGCAGCCTCATGCATTTGCTTTGTCCCCTTTTTCCTGGGGTTCTTCATGCTGACTCGGCCTGAAGGGACAGGGACAGCCATTCACAAGTGCGATCTTCCAATAGCAAAGTGGTGTGACAATGCGTAAGCTCCCCACGGGAAGCAGCGTGCTGCTCCCTCACGGAGCTGTGGCTGGCTCTCCCTGGACATAGAAGCACCATTTTCAGCAGGTCCACCCGGTGTGGACCCTGGACATCATAAGGATCACCATTCCTTCTCTAGACCAGGGTGGGCAAACATCTTCTGCCAGGGGCCAGCAGGTAAGGATTTTAGGCTTTGTGGGCCACGCAGTGTCTGTCTATATATATATAATATAAATATAAATATATATATCTCCCAACTATTTGAAAGTGTAAAACCATTCTTAGCTTGCAGCCCATGCCAAAAACAGGTGGCAGGCCAGATTTGGCCTACAGGCCAGTTTGCCGACCCCTCATTGTGAAGTGTAAATTCTCAGGCCAGCACTGTTCAACATGAACATCTTTGTGTGTTAAGCTAGAGGGACCTCGGCCTCATCCAGTCCATTCTCCTCAGTTGGCGAACACTGGTCAGGCTCTGACGGGACAACCCTGTGTGGCCAAGCCCCCTGCCAGGAGCTGTGGATGAAGTGAAGGGAGATGAACCTGGCTGACCCATGGTGCGCTGGAACCTACACCCCACATCTCTCCATTCCAGCTCCTAGAGCTGCCCCCGGCCTCTACCCGTTCGTCCCCATGGAGAAGATGGTTTTCCGGCCTGGCATCGACTGCCATGACCAATAATTACTATTTTCTTTCCCCGTGGCCACTCCTAGGTGGACTGAAGGGATGAGAAATAATCATGGGGTGTGGATCCAGAGAACGAGGCGGTGAAACATTTGTGGGATCTCCCAAACAATGGTCTTCCTCTCTCTAAAGTGTTGTCCCAGGCAAGAGACCTCTAAAACTGTGATGAGGGACGCGTGTTCCCAGCTCAGAGAGGAGGTGCTTCCTGACCAGCTAAGCCCCTAACTGTCACACCCTGTGCTTAGTTTCCAGGGAAAAGGGGAAGATGGGGTTAGACCTGCTTTCGAAGCCTCACAGTGATTGCTGTGAGTAGGACCTCTGTGTCTCTGAATTGCTTCTCAGAATTAGTTTATTTTTCTCCATTGCTTTTTGTAATTGGATAGAAAACAGATAAAGACCAGATGGAGTGATTTCGTTCACTTAAATCACTTTAATTACTTACCCACTCTTAGCGGTAAGTTTTGGAGGTGTCTTACAACAAAAGATAGTCCAGAAAATGATTCAGAAGGGTTCACGTGACACACACCATTAATGGAGAGGGTATAGGTGTTAAGAGAGAAGACAAGAGTCGGAGTTATACTGAAGATCCAAAAATGTTCTTATCACCCTCCAAAATGAAAGAAGGAAAGAAAGATCAATGCATCTGAGGGCATGCAGTTAAGTCGTGTTTCTCTGAAGGCATTTTTGCAGGGAGCTTAAAGTCTGGTATTCAAGCAAAAAGCTTTCTTCACATCTGACCCGACATAGGATACAGGCTGGAGAAGGGGGCCAGGAACAAGTGGCCGGGCCATGCCCCTTAGATAAATCTCTTGATTAGCAGTTGCCTGAGGAAGTACACGGCATTCCGTTCAGGATTAGGGGAGCTGACTGAGTCCGAAACATGGATAGCGTGTGTCGTCGATTAGAAGGCGATCCTCTTGTGTCAGCAAAGCTGACAGTTCCCTTGAGGGTGCTCTGGTGACTCATCTTTCTGATCTAATCGTCACTATTATGACTGAAACGTAGGAAGGCCACCGACCAGGCTGATGGTCCTAATGACCAAGGAACGGAGCTAGTGGGGGAGGGTAAGATCAGGAATGTGGATAAATCTGTTCCGTATTTCCTTATTCTGGAAGCATCATTCCTGAGGAAGGGCATAAGACTTTCCGTATAGCGTGGTCTTTCTGTCTTTTCCAAAGCTATTATTCAACAAGCTACTAATTGTTTAAAGACTTCACTGCAGATGCAGACAGGTGAAAGGCAGAAATACTAGCCTTGGGCCTGCCTTCTGCCTTCCATCAAACTTTTCTTAACAGGAACACAATCATCTGTTGAGCCCTGATAGGCTGTCTTTTTTTCATCGAGCGTTCATCATTTTTCTCGCCTGAAAAATAATGGTGGAAAAGAACACATCTGCCGCACGAGAACATTGGCGGAGAATCCAAGCTTAAGGCGTTCGTTAAAAAATAACCGTGGTGGGGCGCCTGGGTGGCGCAGTCGGTTAAGCGTCCGACTTCAGCCAGGTCACGATCTCGCGGTCCGTGAGTTCGAGCCCCGCGTCAGGCTCTGGGCTGATGGCTCGGAGCCTGGAGCCTGTTTCCGATTCTATGTCTCCCTCTCTCTCTGCCCCTCCCCTGTTCATGCTCTGTCTCTCTCTGTCCCAAAAGTAAATAAAAAACGTTGAAAAAAAAAATTTAATAAAAAAAAAAATAACCGTGGTAACACGGGGCCCTCTCACCCGTCCTGCGGTAGTGAGTGAACTAGCACAGAGCAAAACTTTCTTCTTTCTCTCCCCCCCCCACCCCCCTGCCTCATGCTTTTCGTCGGGATTCCGTCAGACAAGTCAATAATTGTCTTTTCAATTCTGTGCGCTCCTGTTTCCCTTCCAATTCGTTCCTTCAGTTGTGGTTAGATACACCTTCCTTTTCTCGCGTCTTGGGGCGGTTGTCTTTGGTGGATTTTGTTCTTTTGGAATCAAGAGCTGGCAAGGACTGCTCCTCCCCTCCGTCATGTCCCTGCGCTTTGAAGCAGAACCAACTACTGCAGAAACAATGAGCACGCGGTTTTCTAGGGACGAGCTGGCTGGAGCTCGATCCTGAGACGTCCTGTCGGTGTCTGCAGACCTGGCCAGATTTCCCTTCCCCTCCCGGCTCTGCCCTTCTGACCCCAACTTCAGAGACGCCTTGAATCCCCGAGTTCTGTCTCTAGTCCCCAGGCCCCAGAGCAGCCTTTAGCTGCTTCTGTCTCTTGATTCTGCCCATGTTTTGGGTTTTTTTTTTAAAGCAATAACACCTTTATCGAGATACCGTTTTTCTCCCGTGAAGTTCACCCGTTTAAAGTGTGCAGTTTATGGATTTTTGGCTTGTTTACAGAATCGTGCAACCATCACTGTCACCTAATTTTAGATCGTTTTCGTCACCCCCCGAAAAGGAGCTCCACGGTCTTGAGCAGTCACTCCCCGTGTTGGCGTTTCTGTTGCCGCTGTAAGAAATGACCACAAACTCGGTGGCTGAGAACAACATAAATGTATTACCATACAGTTCTAGAGGGTCAGAAGTTCAAAATGGGTCTCATCGGGCAAAAATCAAGGTGCCAGCAGGGCTCTGTTCCTTTCTGAAGCCACGAGGGGAAAATCTGTCTTACTTTTTCCGGCTTCTACGGCCTGCTGCATTCTTTGACTCATGGTCCCCTTCATCTTCAAAGCCGGCAATGGCCAGCTGCATCTTTCTCAAAGTTCACCTCCCTGATTCTGACCGTCTCCCTCTTCCCTGTATAAGGACCCTTGTGGTTACATTACACCCACCTGGATAGTCCAACGTACTCTCTTCATTTTAAGGGACACTGATTAGCAACCTTAGATCCCCCTTGCCATATAGCGTGTTCACGATTTGGTTCCTTGGATTTGGGGACAGGGACGTCTCGGGAGGCCATTCTTCTGCCTGCCGCATTTCTCGTATCCCGGCCCCAGGCAACCACTAATCTACCTTCTGTCTCTACACCTCTATCCATCTTTTTTATTCTCCTTCATACTCCATTTTTGCCTTGACTTCCATTCTCGACCTTTCCTCCATCCCCTTTCCCTTATCTGTCTCTTTGCGGCCACTGTCTTTCCTCTCATTTCTTAGGACATGATGCGATTCTGGAGACAGAAAACAGAGAGGACTATCGGGGGGGGGGGGGGGGGGG